TGAAAAAATGGATAACCGAAAAATATGAAAAAATACATTATTCGTATAGTATACAGTAGAACCTCGAAAACTCGGCCTAATGTGGACCGAAGGGTGGCCGAGTTTGTGAAAATGCCGGGTTATCGGGAATGGGGTTAAAAAAGGATAAATATACGTGTTTCCTCTACTGTACTGTACTTGTATGTATTGTTTGCTTGAGAATACAACAGAGAATAAACTGCCCAAATACCCTTAAACAAAGGAAAAGTACGTNAATAATGTGAGCTGTCACAAAAACATAATTTATTAAATTAATTCCTTAAAATAAATTTCTGAATTTTATGTTAATAAACTGGAAGAAAATTTAATTGAAAATTAACTACAGTAGAGCATCGATTATCCGAATCAATTGGGGGAAATCGGAAAATCTGTTTTCTAGATAACCGATTACAGCAGCCCTCAACTTTTGCACATAATTGACTCCTGAAAGTGTGTGTGAATGTTGAATGTTCAAAAGTAGAGGGATGTAAAAAAAATATGCACCAAAAACTGTGTTTAAAATATTTATTCCTTAATTTTATTATTATTTTTCAAAATTGCACATATCGTAGATCTGTTTACATCGTATGAATGTCCAATTGAAGCAAAAGATTCACCGTTTTCAGAACGTTTAATTATTTCCATCTTTGTCTCGATTGTATGAAGTTTATGAGTCTTTAATTTCTTTTTGTTCATATCAACACTGCAGTTTCTCAGGTTTCTCACTTATGATTCTCAATTTATAAGGACAAAATATTTAAACATAAACAAATAAATTGGCAAAACACACAACACGTTGACGCACACCCTAATTCAAGACTGAAACTGTTTTGAACTCTTGCTTGGAACAACACAGTAATGATTAGGATTCCGAGAAGTCCGCTATTGTAGGAAGTAATGTGTGTCCGAGAACATAGAGCAAGCTATCACGCTTTGTAGTGTATGAGTGTTCTGCATGAAAGGAAATTTTTTCATAATAAACAAAAATATTTAAAAAGTTAAATTTTTAAAAATGTGTGAAATAGCAAATTGTGCGAAAGTCGAGGGCTGCCTGTTATGTACGAAAAAATATACAGTGGTACCTTAGGATACGAAATTAATCCATTCCAAAACTGAGATTATATCATGAAAATGTCGTAAGGTGAATCATTTTTCCCCATACGATTACATGTAAAACCAAATAATTCATTCAAACACGAAAAAAACACTCAAATTAAAGCTAAGTAGTACATTAAAAAAAATTATAGTAAGGAAAATATTGAAAAATGCATTTTGTAGTTGTAAATGTATAAATAAACATAATAGAATAATAATTGATTTAAAAAAAATGTAGTTTTATTTGCACTTTACCTTTGAGGATAGACGACGGTGGAGGTGTAAACTGGTGACGGAAGAGAGGGAGAAGGGAAATAATACTAAAACTTAACTTACATAACATAATGTAACAATAACTTAGAAAAGATAAAAAAAAATTAGTGTTGTTTTATATATATATATATATATATAAAATATATATATTTTAAATTTTTATTCACTGCTTTTTGCTTTCTTTCCTTCACTTCCACCAGCACTTTCACTGGATAGAGGTCACTTGGTAAAATATCTATCCAAAGAGGTTTGGCTTTGCCTACTTTTTAAAATGTTTCTAAAATGACTTAGGCAAATGTCATTACTC